AATCACTACTATATAATAATAACAACATATATATAATTACATCAAATTACAAATAAGTCCTTACTTAATTAAAATATAACTTTTATTTTTATTTTTTTTTTTTAAAAAAAAATGAAAATTAGAACACTAAAACATAACAACTCTAAATTTGCACTTGAAGCAAAATCTGTCTACCAAACTCCCAAACATGGCTAACGTTGGTGTTGCTCTTACAGCCCCCACTCCATTTGATTTTGAAATTTATTTATTCATTTTAGATATAAGTTTGAAATTTTTGACGCGTTTAAAAATTAATAAAAAATTTAATAAAAATAATTATTTAATATAATATAAATAAATATTCCCTCAGTCCACTTACAATGTTTACATATTTTTATTTTGGGACGTCCAATTACAAAGTTAACATTTCATTAAATACCCTATTTTTTTCCACAAATACCCTTATTTTACATCACATCATTACTTTTATACAAAAAAAAAAAAAAAAGTAAGGGAAAAAATAACATTACACTATTTTTAACTATTCAGCATAATTAAAATACTATTATTTATTAAACACCGCGCCAAAAATAAATATAAACCTTGTAAATGGACGGAGGGAATATTATATATAATAAAATTGTTAAAATAATATTTTCGATAAACAAAATAAGTATTTGATATAATTGTCATAAAAAATATGTTTTTTTTTTTTTATGCTTGTCTGTAATTAAAAACACAAGTTTATTTTGGTGTGTTTACTTGTACAAATTTTCACATAATTTTACTATTTTAATTTTTTTTTTTAAAAAATATTAAATTAAACACTATTTTTTATTTATTATATTACATTAATATTTAATTTTATATTTAAAAAATCATAGCAATATATATTTATATTATATCAAATAACTATTTCAATACAAAATTTTACTATTCAAAATCAAAATAAAAAATCAAAATCTCACAAGTATACTTCTTTATATATACATATTTTATTTATAAAACACAAAAAGTACATATCATATTTAATTTTTTGCTAAATATAAATGAAAAAGATTTTTGATGATAGAGAGTAATAAAAAAAAATTACTTATTTTGACCCTTAATAAAGTATCAATTTATTTTACTTAATATTAAAAATATTTTTATATTTGTATAATATATTATATAAATACTATTGTATTTGTTTTCTATAATACTGATAAAAATATTTTTATTTTTTTCTCTTAATTGTACTATATACAAATATTTAAAATTCGTAAAAAAATAAAAATAAATGAATACTTAGGGAAAGATGTATAATCTATAAATAGTGTTAAAACTTCAAATATTCCGTCTCATAACAAAGTATCTATTTTTTCATTTTAGTCTGTTTCATGACAAAGTATCAATTTCTTTTTTTAATAACTGTACTATATACCTAACATTACAAATACCCTTACAACTTACAATATATTACACAAATGTCATTACCTTTATATCACACGTACTAATAAAGTTATTTTAGTCATTTCTACTTTATTCCTACTATATCTCAATATAATACTAATAATTTTAAAACTACGTGCAAAAAACAAATGAATTTTTACTTTTAGGACGGAGGGAGTAATATTCTTATAGTATATTATTTGTTTGCAATTTTGATAGAGTTTTATATGAAAATAAAAACATTAAACGGAAAAAATAAAATTACACAAATACACAAATATTCACACAAAGTGCGCACCCGGAGTACTTTCGGGTAGCGACTGCGGATTCCTACGCTATATATAAAAAAAAAAAAAAAAAAAAAAAAAAAAAAAAAGTGCACACTCAGGACTCGTTCAATTCCTTTATAACATTTATTATTTTGTTTGACAAAGTCCATCTGGAATTGGAACATTGGAATGAACATTCGAACAAATTATAATCAGACATCGCAACCAATCAACAAATCGTACATTCTAATCCAATTCACCTAAGCCAAAAAGAATAGACTCCCTATAAACAATAATATAAAATATAAAATAAAGTCAAAAATAAAAACAATTAAATACTCCTTAAAAAAATTAAATATTTAATTTAAAATAATATTATATTTTATTTGTTTAATACAATTCCTCGTACCACGTATAAAAATAAACTCAAAAATTCAAAAAAATCACAGTTTATTTTGTATATTTATTAATAAAAATAAATTATTTCTATCACTATCACGTCAAATATTATTTAAACTAAAATTCAAAATATTATTCTAATTTCAAATCAAAATCAAACAAATTGATTTCGTAAATAAATTTTAAGTATGTTCACTCTACAATTTTTTATTGATATGATTTTTGATTAATATTATTAAAAAATATACTTCTCTCAACTCAATGTACTGTATCTATTATTTTCATTCATTTCACTCAATAATATTTATTTTCTGTTCAAGTAAAAGTAATTTTTTATAAATATCAAAATACTCGTAATTTTTATAAATATATTTCATTTTTTCTGTATTTGCAATCGCAAAAATTTCAATATTATTTTATACAATTTTATAACCAATAAAATATTATTATTATTTTTAATATACCTAATAAACAAATGATACTTTGACTTAGAAAGAAAGAAATAATATATAATGTATATTTTATCTACTTATAAAAAATCAACAATTTAATAGTTCATCCGTCCCAGTATGGCATCAGCGTTACTTTAGATACGAAAACCTAAGAGGAGTATAATTAGTAATGAATTAAGAATGTATTTGTAAACTTAATTAAAATATAATACAAATAATTATAGATTAAAACTAAAATAATTAATTAGTTTAATAAAAAAATTTAAAAAAAAAACTATAAATAATAAACTTTAGAATATGACTAAAAGGTAAAATATTTTTCCAAAAAATAAAAATGACATAATATGTTGAAATGACGAAAATGAAAAATATGTCATGATATATGGAACGGAGGGAGTATAAATTATTATTATTTTTTTATATTTTTATACTCACTCCGTCCAGTTAGAAAGTATACATGTTTCTATTTTGGAACGTCCAATTACAAAGTAACCATTTCATTAAATATCCCATTTTTTCCACAAATACCTCTACTTTACATCACATCATTACTTTTATACCAAAAAAGTAAGGGCAAAAATGTCATTTCACTACTTTTATCTACCCACTCTAATTAAAATACTATTATTCCTTAATCTCCGCGCCAAAAGTAAATGTATACTTATTTAGTGGACGGAGGGAGTATATTTTTCTATTTAAATAAAAATTCAAATTTATATATCATTTCAAATTACAATCAAACAAACCCATCATTATGAATTATATTTCAATTCTCATTATTAATTTATATACTACCTTGGTCTCATCAAAAGAGTGATATTTGTTTTTTCTACATAACTTTTTAAATATTATTATTACATTCTCCATCTGATAAATGTAATCTTAATTGAGTTGGACACGAGATTTAAGGAACATTAATATTATATTGGTAGTTGGTAAAAAGTATGGATAAAAGACTTTTTTATCCTTGTGAGTGTATTTGTGTAAAAAGTAGTGGCAATTGTGTAATAAAAATAAAAAAGTATGGGTAGTTTTATGGTTATATGTTTATTTATGTAAATAAGACTATTGTTTTGGAACGGATAAAAATGGTAAACAAGACTATTGTATTGGGACGGTGGGAGAATTAATTTGTAGTGTAAATAACAAATATGTCCATAGTATTGTATAATATAAAAATAATAGCAATATGTTGTAAGTTCTAACAGTATTTATAATGTTAAATAGATAATACAATTATTAAATTAGAAAATCATACCCTTATTTGGGATAGATAAAAATGAAAAATGATACTATTCTTATGAGATGGAACGTATATAAAATTTAAAACATTATACATATATATATCTGGTAAATTTTTTAATCAAATATTTAAAATAAGATATTAATTTGAGTTTTCGTTTAAATAATATTATAATACTCCATCCATCTCATATTTATATATTTATTTGCTTTTTGCACGGAGTTTTAAAAATATTAGTATTATATTGGGATAAAGTAGAAATACAAATAAAAAGACTAAATTATCCCTATTAGTATTGTATGATATAAAGATAATGACATTTGTATATATTTTAAATTGGAAGAGTATTTGTAATGTTGGGTAGATGATACAATTACTAAAAAAAAAAAAAGGAAATAGATACTTTGTTATGGGATGGACCAAAATAAAAAAAATGGATAAATTGTTAATGGATTGAAGGAGTATAATATTTAGTAAAAAAAATAATAGTATATTTTTATTAAAATTTGTGTCAAATAAATAATATTAATTTTAAATTGAAATAATAATAATAATAATAATAATAATAATAATAAAAACCAATTTAAGTGTATGTAATATATTCATATTTTTTAAAACACATGTGATTTGGAAAACAAAAAGAACACTTCTTACAGTTAGACACAGGTTTAAAGAGATTTGAATTATGTTAAAAACACACACATAGAAAAAAAACATATTTACTTTTTTTTTTCAATAATTAACCTAAAATCTAATTTTGTATATTAGTAACACTATTTTTATATCAAAAAATGTTATTTAATACTTCCTCCGTTTCAGCTACCTTGTCTGTTTACGGTGGATACAGAAATTTAGGAGAGATATAATTAATAAATAATTAAAAATATATTAGTAAAAAATAATTATTATATAGTAAAAATAATTTAAAATTAAAATAATTAATTAGTTAAATAAAATTAAAAAAATAAAAAAAAAATTAAAGCGTATGACTATTATGAAAAAATGAAAAGTAACATAATAAGAATAAGTTGGACATAATTGAGTTCAATACTATTGTATACTAAAATTTTCAAAAATGCTAGTACTAGTATTTACTCAGAGGCGAAATTATTTATTAAGTTGGAAAATTGACCAACGCCCAACCGAAAGCCACCCACCATCCATGCTTCTTCAATTCATTCCTAATATCTATTTCCAAATCCTACCCCACACACTTCCCCTCCTCTCGATTGTTCCACTGAATCTCCAATACGACGCGCTAGGGCTGGCGGATGCGACAAACCTACCTAAGCCTGCTGTAAACTCTCTCCTCATTCACAATTCTTGGTGTGGGGTTCGCACTCGCACCACAGAAGCGATCGTCACGTGTTCCGTGGGTTTCCACTCCCAACTACTTCTTCCCCGCCCCCCTCTTTGCGTGTTTCACTGCTACACCCCAAAATTCTTGGAGATTTTGGCGATCCGGGCGAGGAATTCGAGGTTTTTGTTTTCCCGTCACCCAATTGAGGAAACTAGGCGTCGAATTTGCGGTATGGATGTTTCTTTGCCCTTTTCAACGTTTTGTTACTTTTTATTTTTTGGCAAACATTCTTTTGTTCTTGGCCCCCGGACTGAGACGATGGTTTGCTTTTGTTGAACGAACTATGGGATGAGGGGAGACTTCTGTTTTTTTTTTGTTCATTTCACTGTGATTGTGTTGATTCATGTGGCTGAATTATTATTATTATTATTATTCTTATTATTATTTAATATCCCAAAACAATTGCATATGTATTGGGAATTAGAATTCAAAATTTTGAATCTACCTGTCGGCTATTTTATAATGGTATTTTTTGGGGATTGATGCCATCGAGAACAATTAGGAATTCTTGGTACTTTTTGCGACTGCCACTTTAATTAGGATATTTTCATGTTTGGTGTTTCGAGGTCCATCGGTAAATGGATAAATTATATGCATTTGCTGCCAAGCATTGTCTGATGATGTAGTTAGCAATGGTGCATTGCTCGTTTCTGCACATTGCTGATGTTTTGCTATGGTTTGAATTGATTTTGATCTTGTTGATGTCACACGGGTCTGGTTTATGATTTAGGCTCCGATTTTTGCTAATCTGCTGTTTTCGATGCCAAGTTGGTTTGTGCTTAAAAAAATTTGATTAAAAAACTCATTGAGTTTTAAGTGGTTTGTGCTTCAATTGTTTGATGGTCGATGATAACGATGATGACGAGGCTTTTTAGTTGAACTTGAAATATGAGAATATTTGTCGTTGTAATTTATTCAGGTTTGATTGCATCCACCTCCACGATGTCGAGTTTGGAGCAGCCCCTTGGTCTTGACAAGCTGCCATGTTTGAGCAACATCGATGCGCCTTTTAGGTTTTCTTCCGGGGCTTGCCGGCCTATCCCTGAAGACATGGGAATGGGGAACTGCTGGATAGAAGGGAGAAGCTGCAGCTCATCTAATAGCTGCGAGTACGTATACTTGCTCAATATTACACTTTTTAGTTCCAATTCCGCTATCTGCATTCGAGTATCATGCTCAGTTTGTCATTTGTGCATGTGTGTGAACCCTGTTTTATCTTCAGTGACGATTTCGAAGAGTACGCCGAAGATCCCATTGGGTGGCGTACAAAAATGAGAAATTCGCTGAGCAGATCATCGAGTTTAGGCCGGAGTTGTGTAGCCTGTGGAACCACGACCAATTTTTCTTACTTGTCCAATTATAACGACACAAGGGGGTCGAAATATAGGGTAACCCTCAGAATTTTTCCTTATAAGTTAAAATTGCTTCTTGGTTTTGGAGCAAATTCCATATCTATTCTTTTCGGTGCAGCTATTCAAGGATATACCAAGGTATGTGAGGATAGTAGAAGTTGGCCCGCGGGATGGGTTACAAAATGAGAAGAAAATCGTCCCAACATCGGTCAAAGTGAAACTAATACTCAAATTGGTGTCCTCGGGCTTGTCTGTTGTTGAAGCGACCAGTTTCGTTTCGCCTAAGTGGGTGCCTCAGGTGATTGCTATGCTCCCATTCTAGTTTGTTCTCGAATACTTTTGATGATGTTGAGTGTTGTAATTTCTTTCCTTGATTGAAACTTAGCTGGCGGATGCGAAGGATGTGATGGATGCAGTTAAGCATTTGAAGGATGTTCGACTGCCCGTTCTGACACCAAATCTTAAGGTGAGCCGTGATGTTTTTTATTTCATTGATTCACGCATTTTGTGAATGAGAGCCATTAACACAACTGACTGCAGGGCTTCGAAGCTGCTGTTGCTGCTGGTGCCAAAGAAGTGGCTGTGTTCGCATCAGCCTCCGAGTCATTTTCAAAATCGAACATCAACTGCAGCATCGAAGAGAGCCTTGTGCGCTACCGCGCTGTGACATCGGCTGCCAGAAAACTCTCCATTCCCGTGCGAGGCTACGTGTCCTGCATCGTTGGCTGCCCTGTCGAAGGGTATATCTCCCCATCAAAAGTCGCGTATGTTGCCAAGGAGCTCCACGACATGGGCTGCTTCGAGATCTCGCTTGGAGACACAGTAGGCGTCGCTACACCTGGTAAAAGCATAGCAGCAACTGAATTTTCTTTCTTCCCTGAAGCTCTAGCTCATCAATGGCTTTCTACAGGCACTGTTCTCCCAATGCTTGAAGCTGTAATGGCAGTAGTCCCGATCGAGAAGATTGCTGTCCACTTCCACGACACGTATGGCCAGTCTCTTCCCAACATTCTCCTGTCCCTCCAAGTGAGTAGTTCAACTTGACTTGCAATTTAAGGCTGGCAAAATTTATCCTGACCCGAACCTGACGGAAAATAATTGGGGTTGGGTTGAGATTTTTGACCCAATTAATAATTGGGTCAAACTCGTTTAACCAATTTAATTAAATGGGTCAGGTTAAGGTCTACATTTTCGACTTGAAAATAACTCGTCTAACTTGTTTAATTAAATATTATTTTAAATTTAAATATATCTTCTAAATTTTATCAATATAATTCAATATTTATGGCCAATTTTATAAAAAAAAACAATAAAAAAATAAAGAATTGTGTTGTGTAGTAGTGTTTGTTAATTCCATTGTTCAATATCGGTTTCATGGTATGAATAAATAATTTTTTGCTTTAATATGTATATATATTATGCATTTGAAAATTTAGTTATTAGAAATTGTAATTTTAAATTAAAATTTAAAAATTTTAGATTTAAACAGGTTACATAGGTCAGATTAAAAGTTAGATTCATGTCAAGGATTTTGTAACCAGTTTAAAGCTGACCCGAACTTGAACTCCACCCGACCTCCGTTTTCCAGTCTTACTTGCAATAATATCTAGCGTTTCTCATCATCATTATTATTATTATTACATATGAATTTCCATTGTTGGTAGATGGGAATAAGCACGGTGGATTCATCGGTTTCGGGGCTAGGAGGTTGCCCGTACGCCAAGGGCGCTACAGGCAATGTGGCCACAGAGGATGTCATGTACATGCTCAATGGGCTTGGCATCAAAACAAATGTGGACATGGACAAGCTTCGTGCTGCCGGAGAGTATATCAACCACTACCTCGGCCGTGCATCTGGCTCCAAAACTGCCGTGGCCCTCACCCGCAGAGCCTCGCCCTTGCCCGATGCATCCATCGCCTAAAGACAATGATAATTTGATGAAAGAGGTTATTGGTATTTATCAATTTGGACAGGATGTATTGCCCTTAAGGAATATGTAATACTGAAAAATTAATGAAGTCTACTACTTACTGATACACAAGTAAAGTAACCACAAATAAGCTTAAGGTTCAAATGAGCATATAGGCTATACTCAATTCAATTTTACTCTATTATCTCAAACAGCTGTTGTACAAGTGTCACGAAATAGAGTGTTGTGCATTTGAGATCACATTAATGGGGTTTTAAAAAAAAATAATAATCCAAGTCAAACCTTGTTTAAAAGATCTAGTCTTAAAAATTCTTATATTTATAAAATGTAAGAATTTTCAAAATTCTTAAATATTCGAAAACTCTTACATTTTATAAATATAAAAATTTTGAAAACACTTAAAATATTAAAACTATAAGTTTTCAAAACTTTAACGTTCTCTTTTAACTATGTCATCTATATCATACCTTATTTTATTTAAAGTAGTTCTAGAAACTCTTGTATTTTTAATTATAGGAGTTTTGAGAATTTCTACACTTTTAATTTGAATTTAAATTTGGGTAAATTATATAACATTCTTTTGTATTTTTATTTAGTAAAAATGCACAAAACACTCTGTATTTTATTTATTTTTTATTGCGTAAAAAATTCCCTTATGTTAATTTAAAATTTGTACAAAACACTCTCCTTACCCAAAGTTCTAAATAAAAACCTAAATTATGCAAGTTTTATACAAACAAAATACCTAAAATATCTTAAATAATTTTTTTTGAATGAAATAAATAAATGAATAATTGATCAATTATTTATTTTTATAATTTTGTAAAAATCAGATAGCCATTTGTTTCCAAAAAATTATAAAATGAATGATTAATGAATTATTTATATTTTATTCAAAAAACTATTTAAGATATTTTATTGTTTTTATTTGTATAAAATTTGCATTATTGAGTTAATATTTACAATCAAATACTCCCTCCGTCCCATTGCAAGAGTGACATTTGTTTTTTGCACGTAGATTTTTGAACAGTAGTATTATATTGGATGTAGTAGAAAAAGACAAAAATACCCCTATTAGTATGGTGTAATGTAAAAGTAATGACACTTGTGTAATATATTGTAAGTTGAAATGATATTTATTATGTTAGGTAGGTAGTACAATTACTAAATTAGAAAATGGTAACCTTGTTTTGGGACGGACGAAAATAGAAAATGGTAACATTTCAATGGGACGGAGATAATATTAGTTTTGGATGAAAATGGTGTTTCGTGCAAATTTTACATTAACACAAGGAGTTTCACACAGTAAATAAAATACGAGGTGTTTTATGCATTTTAAATAAAATACAAGGGAGTTTTATATAATTTACCCTTTAAACTTTCTTAAATAATTTTTTGTATTTCAAATATTTGTATATGACATGTCTTTCATTTTTTAAGTAAAATTTCTTTTCAAAAAATCCTATATCGAGTTGTTATTTTTTGGACTAAATTATTTTATAATCTTTATACAATATTTTGTTTAATAAATTGTAAGTGAGAGTAAACAAGGTGTTAAATGAAATAATCTCTAGTTGGAGATCATAGAAAGAGCAAAGTAAAACGATTCAAATAATCACATAAATATCATGCATAGGTGAATGAGAAGTATATGAGTATGAGGTGAGCTGTGTTGGTGGAGTATGTTGTGCATGGAGGAACGTGTATGGATGATGGTGCAAGTGGCGGCGTTGGAGTGGACAGTGTTGAGAGGATCTGTGTATGAGAGAATTAGAACATAGGGCATAGGATGTATAAATATAGTAGATAAGTGGGCCAAATAAAATGAATAAGAATGGGCCAGCCCAATAGAACTAGAATGAAGTCCAAAGAGGAATAAATAGTCCAATTTGAAATTTGGTAGGTAAATTGTTTTTAGTAAGGTGACGGTTACTGTAGTAACATATAAAATTCAATACAGGATTGACAACACATAATATAAACACAAACAACCTATGATAGAAAGCTAGACAACACATGAATTGTGCTAACATAATACAAATACAATACATGAACTGACAACGTACAATATAGAGACAAATAACATATTATATAAAAATATACAACACATTATATAAAGACAGACAATATATGAATTATATTAGTACAAATATACACATAACATAATTTCATACAACCATAATAATTTGACCCTTCATCAAGAGAAATTGGGGTCTTATTGCAATCAAACGATAAACCATACACTTTCGCAAAATTCTTGTTGGTCACTATCCACTCAATCCCATTAGGTTAAACAAAATAGAGTGATCTATATCCTGCATACTAATTAGACGTGATTTAGGGTCAGGGCTAAAAGACCTAAGATTAACATGTAATAAGCCCTTACCAACAACAAATAAATTTACTCATGGGATGATTGCCCGTCATCGGAATTATATAATTTTTTATACCTCACATAAAGAAACACCACTTCAAACTATTTTACAAAACAAACAAACTCCAAACAAATCCTAAATTTCATAAAGAGTTAAAATCAATCATTTTTTGTCCCATTGTATATTATAATTCTAAATTTTGGTCCATTTCAAACTAAAATTTATCAATTTTAGTCTCATGGTAGCTGACAGTGACTGAATACGACTATGTTCATTACCTTGCTCTAAACATGACTATGTTCGTACCTCTGTTCACAACCATGTTGTGAACGTGGCCGTATTTTTGTCTGTGTTCATGCCGTGAACACAACTATTTTTCTATCCATATTTACGATCCTGTTCTTAACATGGTCATATATTAGGTCATGTTCACGGTTTGTTTTAAATATAATCATATTCTAGATCATATTCATTATCATGTTCACTTATTTGCTCAAATTATTTGATATATATATATTTATTTATAATTCAACACAAATATTTTTTACAATTATTTGAAACTATATAAAATAATCAAATTTTAATATTTTAAAAATAATTGCAAAAAAGAAATAAAATTATTATAACACTTCATCCACCCCTATGAAATGTCCATTTTTTCTATTTTTGTCCGTCCCATATAATTTTTCATTTTTTTTGAAAATATAATTATACACTTTACTTATATTTTAAATTTTATAATTTGTAATTTTTTAATTTTAATTAAACTATTTAGTTACTTTAATATTAACTTATAATTATATTTATTATATAATAATTATTTTTACTAATACACTTATTAATTATTTACTAATTATACTTTACGTAAATTTATGTATCTACACTTCTTACCCAAACTCATACAATATATTTTTAAATTAATATATAATATATACTTTATTCACTAAAAAAACTCAATAGTTTAATATAAAATATTACTATTTTTTATATTAACAATACAATTTTTCATACTTAGTATATAAAATTGTTATATAATAAATAATATAAGTAGATAAGTTTTGTAAGTATGAATATATATAGTGTATATATGTGATGTGATGTATGCATGTGATATTATGTATATGGTGACATAAATACAACTATATATGTATGGTTATATATATATATATGTAATAAAGATATGTATATACTAGCCATAAATGAGTGTAGAGAGAGAGACGAGTGCGCAGAGACAAGATGAGGAGAATTGTGTGTTTCCTTTCATTCCAAATAATACTACATATCTATAAGAGTATTCAACCAATTAAAAACATCCACACTTTACCTACACATGCGTATATACACACTACCTATACAATACATATATAGTGGTTGCGTGTCTTAACACTCCACTTGGATGTTTTTGTACAAATGATGTATCTCATTAAAATTTTACTATGAAAATGCCCTGTGGGAAAAATCACAGTGAAGGAAAAAGAGTACATCATTCGTGTATTAATGCGCTTCCCTTGTTTTGAGCTTCATTTGATATCTTTCAGCTGACGCATTCCAATTGCTTACACCAATTTGTTGAATGGTACAGTCGATAGCGCCTTTGTAAATAAAATTTGCAAAATTTTCAGATGATCGAATTTTTTGCACATTAATTTCACCACTTTTCTGAAGATCGTGAGTGAAAAAGAACTTTGGAGATATGTGTTTTGTATGATCGCCTTTAATATATCTTCTTTTCAATTGAGCTATACAAGCTATCTTCAAACAAAATTGTAGGATGTAATACATTATTAGAAATCAAGCCACAATTTTTCTGAATATGGTGAGTCATAGACCTTAACCAAACACATTCACGACTAGCGTCGTGAATTGCTAAAACCTCAGCAAGGTTTAAGGAAGTAGTTGTTATCGTCTGTTTAGTAGATCTTCAATAGATTGTTGTTCCACCATAAGTAAATAAATAGCCAGTTTGAGATTTTGCTTTGTGTGGATTAGACAGATAACCAAAATCAACATAACCACTTAATTCATTTCGAGATTCACTCGAATAAAATAAACTGAGGTCATGAGTCCCCGAAGATACCGAAAAATGTGTTTGATACCATTTCAATGGCGCTTCATGGGCGATGCGCTAAATCTGGCCGGTAAATTTATTGAGAAAGATATATCTGGTCTGGTACAATTTGCAAGGTACATTAATACGCTAGCGCTAAGATATGGTACCTCAAGGCCAAGTATTTCTTCATTTTCTTCTATTGGCCTAAATGAATCTTTACTGGGATCAAGGGACCTGACCACAATTAGTGTACTCAAAAAGTGAGATTTATTCATATAAAATTGCTTTAATACATTTTGGGTATATGTCGATTGATGGATAAATATTTTGTTATTAACATGATCCACTTGTAATCCCATAAAATATTTTATCTTTCCAAAATCTTTGATCTCAAATTCTTTCTTTAGATATTCAACTGCAATTTGGATCTCTTTTTTGGAGTTCCAATTAAATTGAGATCATCAACATATATTGCAGTAATGACAAAATTTGATCCATTTTTCTTAATAAAAATGCATGGGTCTATTGGATCATTAGTATAACCTTCTTTAATTAAAATTCACTAAAACAGTTATACCACATTCGCTCTGATTGTTTAAGTCCATACAATGACTTTTTCAATTTAATGGAATATGATTCATTTTGGTTTAATTTGTATGTTTGAGACATATTGAATCTCTTAGGAACTTTCATATAAATATCAGTATCTAAAGAGCCATAAAGATATGCAGTAACTACGCCTAAAAGACGCATGTCGAGCTTTTCT